GCAGCACTTGAAGCCAGCAATGCAAGCAGCTATTTAACATCTGCAAGCAGTTTAGCAAGAGCATACAGTATTGTTATTCGGCAGATATCTGATCTGATGGGTCTGATTCCCAAGTACAATCATTTAGTGTACTCCCAGATCCCAGCTGCAGTGAAGCTGACTTATCAAGACGCAGTTAACTTGCAGGTAAGAAGATCCAAATCTCTGTAGAGAAACATAATTTCAATACAGTTGGTTTTTTTTAGGTAAAATCACAGAGTCATTGAGGTTGAAACTGACCCCTGAAGATTGTCTAGTCCAAAGTCCCTGCAGGGTCAACAGAAGAAGGCTGCTCAGGGCCGTGTCCAGTTAGGTTTTGAGTATCTCCAAGGATGGAGACTCCACAACTGCTCTGGGCAACCTGTTAAGTGTGTGACGACTCTCACAGTAAAAAAATGTTTTTCTCAGTTTAAACTCAGTTTAAATGGGCTTTCCAAGTATTTCAGTTTCTGCCCATTGCCTCTTGTCCATTCACTGGGTATCATTGAGAAGAGTCTGGCTCTGTATACTTTATACCTTTTTATCAGGTCTTTATACACGCTGATAAGATCCTCCTGAGTTTGTTTCTTGAGTCTAAACTGTCCCAGCCCTCTCAGCCTCTCATCATATGAGAGACAGCGTAGGCTGAAGTAGCTGTAGTTACTAACTCCATTAAATTGTTCATATTTCATATACATACCTTCTTTCAAAAAAGGAATTTCAGTTGGGTTGGGTTTTTTTGGGTTTTTTTTTTTTCAACTAAGTCTGACTGGTATCTAATTAGTAGTTGTCAGGATTGACTGCTTTGGAGATACTAGTGATCTCTACGAGAGGTCTTTTGCCCTATTCTTTTTGACATGAACTGTTGAGTCTATAAAAGAAGAAAGTTACTAAGGGCCAAATAATTAAATGAGACAAAGGATTTGTACAGGTAAATGTACTGTTTGCTGTCCCTTCTTTCAGGGGCATGATCATCCCTTCCCTGTGCATGTTTTTTGGTACAGTGCTCTTGACTGTTGGTTTTTGAAAGTATATGTAAAATGCATCTTTAGAGAAAATACATGAAAGGGAAGACTGGTATCTGGCATGTATAGAAGGAAGATTCAGAGACTAACAACAGGAGGAGCTTCAGTGTGTTCAGAGAGTATGTATCAACTTGCATGTGGGCATAGTGTATAGAGTGAAATCATCTGTACTGAATTTAGTACAAAAATCAACTGTTAGAATAATACTGCTGCTTTGGGGAGCCCAAGAAATCAGGTGGTGCTGTTTTCTGTTAGTAGTACTGTGTGATGGGATGTGAAAACCAGATGACAATATATTTACTTGTAATTGAGCCACGAAGTATTTGTATGGCTCTGTTTTCACAGTGCGATGGAAGAAAAAGGCTTCTGATTTGGGAGAGGAATGTTGCAAAGATATTATGGGATCAAACACTGGGGGAAACATGCAGGGAAGGAAGTAAGAGGAGGCTAAAGAGGAGGCTTATTATGGAGGAGGCTAAAATCGGTTTCTGTTCAGAAGATTCTCAGTGGGAAAATATTGTCTCTGCTGAGCAGAGATGTTTTGCAAAGGTTACCTTTTTGCCAGATGAGTGCACAGGAGAGCTGTCCAGCTGAGGCAGCAAGAGATTTGTATTTGAATGTGAAAGCTTGACAGCGGAGGTTTCATTTGCATACAGAAACAGGGGTCAAGACAGCATTTTGTTAGTTTGGTGGATACAAGAACATTTGAAGTGTGAGGGATGTTTTTGAAGACCAGAATGTAGAGGAATGAAGAAAGCAGACTGATGCTGGATTAAAAAAAAACCCGACAGGTCAGTGGAGTTAGCAAATGGCAAGAAAAGCAGACTCCAGAGCCAGTATGGGGAACAGGTGAGGAAGAGACTGGACCGGGAGGAGAGGTTTGTATGCAGACATAGTTCTTTATGCAGGTCTTACTCAGTGAAGATGACAAAGTTAAGTTGCAAGGGGTGAAGAATGGTGAAAGATCTGGCTGGTGAATGCTGTAGCAGGATGAGGTCTGAAAGCTGTTTGAAAGTCAGGAATTGGACCAAAATCCCCAAGATGTGCACACCTGGAGATGCTGGGTGGTCATAACGTGAGGAGTAAAAGAGATGCCCAAAAGGGAGAGAGGCATGGTGAGAATGCTTTACAGACACCAAGTGATGAGAGCTGCATACCGCTACAGTAAATCAGCAGTCTCAGTAGAGCTTTCGGAAACTGTTCATTGGTCATTCTTGAATGTGGTTTTACAGCCTCTTTGTAGGGAATCAGATGTAACTGTAAAAGCCATGGTAGAGGCTTATGTTGAGGCTGCACTCTCATCATCTAGTTCTATTGTTTGCAAAACTCATTAAATTTCATTTTCTATAGAATTACGTAGAAGAAAAGCTTATTCCTACTTGGAATTGGATGGTTAGTATCATGGACTCTACTGAAGCTCAGCTGCGTTATGGTTCTGCGTTAGCATCTGCTGGTGATCCTGGGCATCCAAATCATCCTCTGCATGCTTCTCAGAACTCAGCCAGAAGGGAAAGGATGACAGCCCGTGAGGAAGCTAGCTTAAGAACACTCGAGGGAAGAAGGTATGAAAATAGTTTGATTAGTGCATGCGATATGAATTACCAGTTCTACAGTCAAATCTTCTTGTTCACTGACATTTAGGAATCTTATTTTGTAATGCAGTGGTGTAGTTACTGTTTTGATTTAAGTTGGCTTCCTGTGTTGTTGCTAGTATTTGGTTTATTCTGACACACTGGATTCGTCTCGAGTACTGTTTACAATATACTGCACCTGAGCTGCTTATAGTAAAGCATAAAGCTATGCTTGTTACTCTTATTACCACATTGTTTTTGTGGGGGTTTTTTTGAGTTTTTACATACATATTTCAAATATAGACTAATATGTAAAGGACGCCTTCTACTGTGATGCTTAATCTCTGTATTCAATCCTTTTCTTTCACTAGACGTGCTACATTACTCAGCGCCCGTCAGGGAATGATGTCAGCACGTGGTGATTTCCTGAACTACGCACTGTCTTTGATGCGTTCTCACAATGATGAGCACTCAGATGTTCTTCCTGTTCTAGATGTCTGTTCACTAAAGCATGTAGCATATGTTTTTCAAGCCCTTATTTATTGGATTAAAGCAATGAATCAACAGACAACATTGGATACTCCTCAGCTGGAACGGAAGAGGTATCGTGGCTGACTCATAGAAACAAAAACTTTTGCAAAAGTGGTGTGTGTCCTTTTGTTTCAGTCATTGGCATTGTTACTCAGCAACTCATATAAATATATATATGTAGATCTATCTGTGTGTGTAGTAACATGCATATTAGGAAAAGAAGGTTTTCTTACCACTAAAACGTGAGTTTGATTTTTAACTCCATGGCAGTGCCTATAAAAGATGTACTCGGGACAATTTCTCAGCTGAAAAATGCAGTCTGCTCCTCACATTTAACATGGTAATAACTTATTTAGAATCGTGTCAAACATGTTAAGAATTACATAGGAGAAAATGTCAAAGTCTGGTATGATGGGCTTAGTAGTTCTGTTTTCATTTGGTTATGGATATTTGAGACTTACCTGATGATTTAAAGCACAGTAGGGAAATCAATAATTGAAAATGTCCTTAAGTTGAAAATCCCTGCTACTTCAGCTATAGAATTTGACAAGGTGCATTTATTACTTTTTAAAACATTGTAAGATATTTTTTTTTTCTGAAATGTTCTTTGATTTGAAATGGCAATTAATGATCATAGAAATGTCCATGTGTTGGTGTAGACTACACCATCTGTTCCCATTTCTTATTCTGCTTTGTACCTGAACAGTCCTAGTCAACAGTTAAATAAATGCAAATCTTTGCCCCTTCCTGCCCCTAATTTTCAGTATTGCAGGTTGAACTTAACTTTCCCTTTACTCTACAAATTTAGTAACTGTAAAATATGAGGTATTGGTATTTTAGATATATATTGGACTGCTGCTTTAGTTCCAATATTATGTTCAATATATCTTGGTAATGTAAGGCTTGTTATGACCTCAAAATGTATACCAGAGGGTGATGTTGTCAACAGTAGCTTCCTGGCAAGTAAGGATGATTTAATACAGTAATTGATTGAATTTTTGTACTTGAGTAGTTAAGAGCTGTGGCTTTAAGCCTTTTCCAGGCAATAACATACTTCTGGAATCTGCTTTGTCCCCATAAAAAAAATTCACATATTGAAATCTGTCAAATAACTGTTCATCAAAGAATTGCTAAGTTCACTTCAAATGCTTATAAAGCTATGAAGGCCTAGACCTTTTCAATTAAAGGTGGGTGGTTCAAATTCAGTCAGTTGCTTCTGTTAGATGACATTTTAGTAGCCTGTATAAAACAAAAATTTATCTGTCTTCATCTAGTTTCAGAACATACTTCACAATGCATGAACTGCCAGAAATGAATACTAATCACAGTTCTTGATCCTTTTTATAATACAGTGAAATCCATTTCTTTAAATGCAGTTTGCAAACTCACCCTCTGAAATGTGAGCAGTGACATTATTTTTCTAGGACTAAGTGTATTCTACACCAGTAAATTTTAGAATGGTATTCACTTACATATTTCTTCCAGTAATGCAGGATTCCTAGGTTTTGTATATTGACATAGTCTTTAAAAACAAGTGTACTCATCACTGTCTGAAGCTGTAACTTTTTACATCAAACTTGGTAGGTGGCCAAATGGCAGTAAGGGTAACTGCGAGTAATGTAGTGAGTGAGTATGTAATGAGAGGTACTCTACGGTACTTTGATTTTTGGAGTGAGTTCATTCTTGTTATGTATAGCTCCCAAGTACACTTACTGACTATACTCTTGTTTTCTTCAAGAGGATTGACTCTTCTTTTTTTTTTTTTTTTTAAAGAACTCGGGAACTTTTGGAACTGGGTCTTGACAATGAAGATTCAGAACATGAAAATGATGATGACACCAATCAAAGTTAGTATACAGAAACACTTCTGTACTATGCCAAAATGCAACACTTTCTTAGTGTTTTTCCCCTTTAGCTAGCTGAGACTTTGAATAAATTGTTCTACCTATATATGTAACGTTAAAGTTGGATTTTAGTAAGATTTTCTTACCATTGTTACTTTACAGAATTTCTTCTGTCATTGCCTGTTCTCATTTCAGGGCCCTCTTTTTGTCTCCTTTCTCTCTAAACTGCAGAACTGATGCCCTTACTTATCATTCTACACAATGAGAGAATTTAAAATTTGAATCAGAGATAAACTGATTTTTTTTTTATCTGATGAAACTGCCACTGAAAATGGTAGAATGTATACTCTGTACTAAGTACATACAGTGTAGGAGTGCATGTTCAGTAAAGTTAGTTACAGTAAAAAGAATTAAAGTGATGACTAAGCAACTTAATAAAAATACAGGATTTGTGGAAGCATCCTGTAGAAGTATTAAATTTGCAGAGATGGTCCTCCAGTCAGATAGCTAAGAGGGAAGTGTATTAATTTTTGGTGTTTTAAATCCTTTGCTTTTATAACTGTGAAAATTGAATTGAAATTTTCTCTGATATTTAGGTGCTACACTCAATGACAAAGATGATGACTCCCTCCCAGCAGAGACTGGCCAAAACCATCCATTTTTCAGACGATCAGATTCTATGACGTTCCTTGGCTGCATTCCACCCAATCCTTTTGAGGTTCCTCTGGCAGAGGCCATCCCCCTGGCAGACCAGCCCCATCTATTACAGGTGACATCAGAGATGGTGTTCTGGAAGAAAACTGCAGTTTGCTTTTTCATTTCTAACTGAAGTATATTATTTACCCAGAATGCTTTTGTTAATTTTCAGCCAAATGCTCGCAAAGAAGATCTGTTTGGGCGCCCAAGTCAGGGTCTGTATTCATCTTCTGCCAACAGCGGGAAATGCTTAATGGAAGTTACAGTGGATAGAAACTGCCTTGAGGTAGATTTAAAGGTTTTATTATTTTAAACAATAGGGTAATTTCAGCTAGTACCTTAATTCCTTTAAAAGGATTTCAGAGAGAATTTTAAGTAGCTTTCAGAATGATAATTGGAAAGCCCAGTTAAGCGTGAAAACTTGGACTTTTTATGAAAAATGTGCTTAATTTTTTTTAAATGTAGGAACTTTTATGATTACTGATTTATAGCAGGTTTCAGGCAATATTTTTGAAGGCTTCAGTACAATCCCAAGTTAATTTTGAAATACCAATTATATAATTATTTGTGATAAAAAGAATTAAATCTCCTTATAGGCCAGTAGTTTTGACTTGCCTAAAGACTGAGCATTAAATGGCAAGCGTATGAAATACAAGCATAAAGTGGGAGAATGTTTTTTTGTATTTGTTGAAATGATTCAAGTTACTGTGTTTTAACAGGTGAATTACGGTGCTCACTTTTTGTGTGGTTTAAAAATTATATGTATATATCCCTTGAAAAAGCTGCCTAGACTGTTTTGAAAGTGCAATTATATTTTACTTCTCCTTGTTTAGGTTCTTCCAACAAAAATGTCTTATGCAGCCAACTTAAAAAATGTTATGAGCATGCAAAATCGGCAAAAGAAGGAAGGGGAGGAACAAAACGTGCCTACGGAAGAATCTGAGAGTTCAAAGCCAGGGCCTTCAGCTCATGATCTTGCAGCACAACTGAAAAGCAGCTTGTTGGCAGAGATAGGATTGACAGAAAGTGAAGGGCCACCTCTCACGTCTTTCAGGTAGTTTGAGTTAAAAGTTACTCTATGAACTATTACTGAAGTGATAAAAGGATATTTGGGACTCTGAAAAGTCTTTTCAAATTAAAATGGGTAGCTTGCTTTAGTTTGAAAATGTGGCTTGTGTTTGATAGCTTTTAAAATGAAGAGTTGAACAGTCTTCAAAGAGGTCTGTGCAAACTGTATTAAAAGTCCTTTACTACTGGAATTCCTGCGGCAGACCTACTATCATGTCCTGGGTAGCTAAGTTTAAAAACTGGAATTGACAGCTTGCCATCTGTGTCTGGCGATACTGACCACACTTTATGCAGTTAGGGACTGAACTGCCCTCACTTTGAATTACAGCTTTTTTTTTTAAAAAAAAAAGGTCTTGATGGAAAGGAGACCAATAACAGTGAATTCCATGTAGCAGTGAAGTTACATGCTTTGACAGTAATTTCTCTTTGGAAGCAAGACGTGTTTCAACTGAAACTAAGCAGTTCCATGGGCTTTTGTCCACAAACTTCCTGTACTGTGTTGTTGTTTATCAGAAATAAAGAACTTATTTGAAAGGCAGAGAGTAAGAAAAAGCAGAGGTACACAAAACATGTCTGAAATGTAACTTGATTTTGCTTGTCTGTCATTTTTTCCTTCCTTCTGTCAGGCCACAGTGTAGCTTCATGGGGATGGTTATATCTCATGACATGTTGCTGGGACGTTGGCGCCTTTCTTTAGAGTTGTTCGGTAGAGTATTCATGGAAGATGTTGGAGCAGAGCCTGGATCGGTATGTATTTCCCAGTGTAAGGACAACTCCTCTTACAACTAAATTGTGAACCTCCCTCATTATTCTGATTTTGGTTTTTGGTTTTTTGTTTTTTCTTCTTTTAAGATCTTGACTGAATTAGGTGGCTTTGAAGTAAAGGAATCAAAATTCCGCAGGGAGATGGAAAAACTTAGAAACCAGCAATCCAGGGATTTAACGTTGGAGGTAAAAAATGTTAGTTTATCTTCTGAATTTGTTTTCATTAAAAGTTGAATTACTGCACATTGCAGTAACTAGATAGGAGAAGTTGTATTTCAGAGTCTGCAAGCAGGTGTCTTAAACCTTACTTTGTGAGCTGTGTTGCAATTACTGTGTAGTTTTTCACAGTCTAATTGGTATTTTCTGAGTCTATGCAGAAGTGTCCAGAAACTTCTTGTGAAGCTGAAATTCTCTTGGTATGATGATTGGTAGAGAAAAGAAAACTTTTTTTGTGTTTTTTGCTAGGTTGATCGAGACAGAGATCTTCTAATTCAGCAGACCATGAGGCAGCTCAACAATCATTTTGGTCGCAGGTGTGCTACCACTCCGATGGCTGTACACAGAGTAAAAGTTACTTTTAAGGATGAGCCAGGAGAAGGCAGCGGTGTAGCACGAAGCTTTTATACTGCTATTGCACAAGCTTTTCTGTCAAATGAGAAACTGCCAAATCTAGATTGTATTCAGAATGCCAACAAGGGTACCCATACAAGTAAGTGATGTACAGCAGTTAATCTACAGATAACATTCATAGAAGCCTTGGATGCTTTTTTACATTGAAATACTTGGCATTGTCTCAGAGATTTCTCTTGTTAGCACGGGAACTGTGAAAATTGTGCTTGTTAATTCTTTGAGGCAAGCAAATGGCTTTTATTCTGCTTTCAGAAACAGCAAGCTCTTGTTTTTCTTGAAGTAGGAGTCTGCTTTACATGCTCTCAGCTTTTTTGAGCATCTTTCTCTCCAGTAGGTAATAATTATCAAGATTTTAGCTAGTAAGAGCTGATACATTTTAATATGACTTCGCCATCTGGCTTGTCACAAATACATTTTAATGTTTTTGAAAGTATATATAAACTCTTGAAGTATTTTGGCATTTGTAAGTTGGTACAAACACTTCAGGTTCCTTTCTTAAGTTTGGCTGAACCCCAATCACTACTTTAAGTGAAGTGGTTCTGTCTCATTAATATCTTTCAAGCTATCTTCCAAAACTATGTCCTCCTTATGCTGAAACTTAGGTAGGAGAGAGAAATATAAAGATGTTTAGGCTTATGAGGTTTTTTCCCCTTCAGGTCTGATGCAGAGATTGCGAAATAGGGGAGAGAGAGATCGGGAAAGGGAGCGAGAGAGAGAAATGCGGAGAAGTAGTGGCTTACGAGCTGGTTCTCGGAGAGATAGGGATAGGTAAGTGACACATTTTTAATTTGTTGGAGATACTTTGTCAAATAGAATAATTGCCTTGGTTATCTTCAGGAAAGATACTTCTATTTCCTCAAATTAAAGGTGTCTGTCTTTTTCACTTTCAGGAGCAATTTACAGGGTAATTTCTTGAAATTCAGTATATGCTTTAATTCTTTAAAGAATAATTATGCTTACTTTAGCATTGATAGATGATATCTCAACCATATGCCATCAATCTCTCCTGCTAAAACAATAATAAATACTTGTGTACTAGAATAAAATTGTGAGGTGGTTTAGAAACAACATTGCCGTTGGTGGCATGTCTGACTGCTGTATCCAAAATACTGGTAGTATTAGAAACTCCGGTTCATTTTGATTCTCTGTTCCTGAATCATTCTCTCCTAGCAGCTATGAGCAACACTACTATTCCAGCATAAAAGCTAATGCTATTTTGAATCTGTGTGCAAATTGTATTGTTCCAGAGGATTTTTGCATATTTCCTCTGAAATGAGTACAAACTGCTCTAATTTTCTTAAGGGACTTTAGAAGACAACTTTCCATTGACACACGGCCTTTTAGACCGGCATCAGAAGGAAACCCTAGTGATGACCCTGACCCTCTTCCAGCACACAGACAAGCCCTTGGAGAAAGGCTCTACCCTCGAGTGCAAGCAATGCAACCAGTAAGACTTACTGCACTTAATGATATATTGTTCTTGTCATCTTTTAATTTAAAAAAAATTAATTTCCTTGTCCATTATTGTTTAACATAACTGAAAATATTTGAACATGTAGGGCTGTTTTTATATTCTTTGGCATTCTCTTAAGATTTTATTTCTGTAATTTGTCATTTAGCTTAGGAGGTATCTTGTAATGCATTCTATATTTAAAATACTAAAACTTTCATAAAACTGTATTTGAAAATGAGAGAACTGGAGGAGAAGAGTAAGACCTATCGTTCCTTATCCCCAGGCATTTGCAAGTAAAATCACAGGAATGTTGCTGGAATTGTCCCCTGCTCAGCTGCTTCTGTTACTAGCTAGTGAAGATTCCCTTAGAGCAAGAGTTGATGAAGCAATGGAACTCATTATTGCACATGGCCGGTAAAGTATCAAAGTTTTAGATAAGAAATTAAAATTGATTTTGTGGCCAAAGCACTTGTACTGGGCTACATCTAACTCTGATGCATGCAACTTATTCCTTGCTTTGTTCTAGGTATTTTTCTTTGAACAAATTACTTGCTGACTTTGGTTTAGTCTAATCTGTCTGGTTTCAGAATATGATACTTCCTTATCGTGAAATTAAATCTGCCTTTTTTTTTTTTTTTCCCTTGTCAAGGGAGAATGGTGCTGACAGTATATTGGATCTTGGATTGCTAGACTCTTCAGATAAAGTGCAGGTAACAAACTGTTGCACAAATTAAATTTACTGAAGATCCAGTTGTATCAGTTAATTTTAAAAACTTAAGCAACTGGAGCCTTCTTTTATCATGCAAGACAAAGTTTTGTTTCATTATTTTGTGGAGTTATCTTTTTTTTTCTTTCCCCATTTCTTTTTTTCTTTTGAAAAGATTAAGCAGTAATTACTCAAAAGTATAAAATGTTACCATTAGGAAATATGGAAATTCTTCACCAATGGAACTTGAATCTTTGGATCCAGTAGCAAATAGCTTGTTGATGTGTGTCAGTAACTAGAAGTAAGTTTGTTAATTGCTATTCTGACTTTGAAAACAGGAAAATAGAAAGCGACATGGTTCCAGCCGCAGTGTAGTAGATATGGAATTAGATGATACAGATGATGGGGATGATAATGCACCACTTTTCTACCAACCTGGAAAACGAGGCTTTTATACACCAAGACCTGGTAAAAACACAGAAGCGAGGCTGAATTGTTTCAGAAACATTGGCAGGTATGCTATTATTAACTTTCCAGTCTGAAAAAGTGTAAAAGATGAATATACAAAATACCAGGGAGAGTACCAATGATCCAAGCTGCAAAAACTTTCTTTATTAGTTTTATGCTCTGTATTTCTCAACTGGAGCTAAATAGTGGGGAAAAAAAGAGGTTTCTTTTCCTGTTAAATTTTTATTTTTAACTTTTTTTTTTTTTTTACAGTCTGGAAGTTTTATACTGCAGAAATATTTTTTTTTAAATGATATATGTCCATGATTTTCTTTGGGGGATTGATAGGGCTGGAAAGCTGCAGCTTGATTCTTAGAATGTTTTCACTTTATTATTGTGAGTCTGCTGAAAGACCTCCAATATAATTTCTGTTGTACCAAAACAAAACCCAAACATGTATTTTCAGAATCCTAGGATTGTGCTTGTTGCAGAATGAACTATGTCCCATCACGTTAAATAGACATGTAATCAAAGTTCTTCTTGGCAGAAAGGTAAGTTTAGATGAAATTCAATTTTCTATGTTTTTACATAAAATTTCATCTTCAAAAACTGCTTTTTTTCCCTAACGTGCATGTATTGACTAGCAGAGTTGATATTGGAACTGTAAGGATGCCTTTGAATTTAATTTGAGGTGTATTCATTTTTTCATTTCCTAGATTTTGCACTGAGTAGATGTACTAGAAGTCAGGTATTTGACTAAGATGGAATGATATGTAATAGATTAGCCTTTGACTGTCTTCAGAAACAGCTTACTGTCTCCCCTTTTTCTTTTCCTGGGACTGAAGACTCGAAGAGATAGTGTTGGACAGTACTGGGCAGTAGCATCTCAGCTTACTGAAAAGCATTTTCCTCGATATTTGAGAGAACTCATTGAATTATAATTAAAATTTTGTCTTGGGTGTAGGTATAATTTAATTCGGAGCAATAATTACCTAAACTTTCGGCAGAAATGCTTCCCCACCCCAATAAGCAGTAATTATGTACTGCACATTTCATGCATTAGTCAATAGCATTGTAAGTTCTGTCTGCTGCAACAAACTTAAACCAAGGTTTGTTACTGCTGATCTTTCCTTGAAAACAATGTTGATCACATAATCAGTTATCCAGCGTACATATAATCTTTAATGAAAAAGGGTTAATGGCAGAAAGATGCCTCCAAATCCCTGGTCTCTTCCAAGAGAGATTCCCTTCTAATTCTTTTCTTCAGGTTTTTCTTCTTGAGTATGTACTCCTTCCAGTTAAATGTTGGATACATCAAAGAATATTTTAGTTAGGTTTAGTTTAGTTTAGTTGGTAGATAACTTTTTTCTCCAGGCTGATAAAGAACAAAGAAGCAAGGAACTATAGAGAACAGCAAGAAGTAGACATTGGTATTTGAATTGTTGTTAACTGTGGTCTGCAGCTACTGGGCCATCAGTCATTTAAATATGTATCTATAGCAGCAGTATGTTTGTGTTTAAGTGGAGGGGAATTTCCAGCATTTTGGAGCACTGATGCAAATTGTTTCCAACTTCAGTCAATCTCCATCAAATATCAATTGAAGTAGGTGATATGTAGAAGAATTTGTTTAAAAAAAAAAACCTATAAATTTTCTTTATAACCTCTATTCCCTTGAGAGCAAGAAAGGCTTTACAGGTCTATTTTTACGTTCTGCTAATGCACATCAGTTGAGTATTCTAGTGTACCTTCAAAAGTAGGCTGAAAATAGGAGTTTGACTGCCTTTATTTCCAAGTGTTTGTATGCTTTGTTACATGGGTTATGCACTGCTGTATGCTAGTGCGTAGATTAGGCACAGATCACGTAATTTTGAATGTATTCTTAAACAACTGGTATGTTTCAAACGTCTACGTACTTACTTTTTGCTCCTTATCTATCTTTTTTTTAATAGGTGAACTGGCATGACTTTGCTTTTTTCGATCCAGTTATGTATGAAAGTCTTCGGCAACTTATCCTCGCTTCCCAGAGCACAGATGCTGATGCAGTGTTTGCAGCAATGGACTTAGCCTTTGCAATAGACCTCTGTAAGGAGGAGGGTGGAGGGCAGGTAAGCACAGCTAAACCTGTGTCTCTGTAGTTTCGGAATTCAACACCTTATGCATGTTGTAACATACACATAATCCATGCTCTTCTCAGATGGTAGAGATGATGTTTTACCCTTCCTAGATTCAAACACAGTGTTCTCCTCAGACATTGAAATGTGAGGTTTTTTTCCTTGAAGGTGATGTAGAACCAGCCATAAAGCCTGGATAGCATAGTCAATCCTAGGGAAACTTTATAGTTAACCTGCAGTAGTAAATTTTGCTTGTTTTTAGAGGGATATTGAGCAATAAATCACTGTGCAGCATACTGTGGCTGTTGTAATAATCACTTTTTTTTTTTTCTTTTTCTTTTTAAATGGTCCTTGTTACTTTGCCTTAGGTTGAACTTATTTCCAATGGTGTAAATATACCAGTCACTCCTCAGAATGTATATGAGTATGTCCGGAAATATGCAGAACACCGAATGCTGGTAGTAGCGGAACAGCCTCTACATGTAAGTCTTTGGTGGAGTGTTTTTTAAAAAAAAAAAGGGGGGGGGGAGGAATCTGTAAGACTTCAGTCAGTTAATTCTTTTCCTCATTATGGTATTGCTGATCAGGTTTCTTTTGAAGTTTTGACAGCTTGATTAAAAATATTTAACTTCCTAATTTTTTTGTGTAAATGTTTATGCAGTACTGTGAAGACTGAGTACTTTGGGCAATTTCTCCTTTTTTATAGAATGAAGGATAATTTCTTTTAAACTTGATCTCATTGGTTAAGCATATATGTTCATTTCTTGAGCTCAGATGGCACGTATCCTCTTGGAATTTTTGCTTTGTATTTAGCAGCTACTTTGTTCTAATAACCGGTCACCTTTGCTTTGTTTAGCCTTATAAACAAAGATTTAAAAGAAATTTCAAAATATTTACATAAATCACCTTGAACTTCTGACTTGTGTCCTTGTTTTAAAAGGAAAAATCAGTTGTGAAACATACAACTTTGTTCTTATTTTACTAGCCTGGCAAGAAACCTAAGAATTGACTATAAAACTATATTAAAAAAAACTTGGTTTTTGAAGCCCTTTTTAAATAAAAGTTACAGAATAGTATATTTTTGTAAACAGTTAATGAAGGTCCAGTACTTACTCTCTGTCATATGGTACTACATCTAAACTTGGTCATTTCTGCCGACTGTGGTTTCCTGCTGCACTTTTGAGATAACGCTAGCAGACTGCTAGATTACCTCTGTGCAGTTTAGGTCCAAAATTCTCACAGAAAGAACATGTTCCTGGAATTAAGCTACTTGATCTCCATGTCTGACTCTTGTTGAAAACCATAACATTTGTATTCATTTTGGAATTTACTAAAACAAATTTATTCATATTCTTCCATTTTGAAAATGGAATTTCCAATCTTTTCAGGATATTACTTACTTATATAAAATATATATGTGTGTGTATAATGTTTTTAAAGCAGAGTTGGCATGTGAGTGTCTGAGGAAGCAAAGTAAAAGTAACATGCAAGATGCATTTTTCATAATTCTCATCAGACTCAGCGTAGCTCATCAAAATACCTGAACTTTTCAGCATTAGAGAGCGCATTTGCTTCTGCTCCTGGTGAAGTATTAGTTCAAACCATTACTGCTTTCTTCTACAATAGCAGGTAGGGTTTAACAGATTGGTGCAGTTCTTTGTTTCAGAAAATCTGCATCTCAGATGGTAAAGCCTTTAAAGAGAAGAACAGCTAGGAGAATAATGGATTTTGAGTTAATAGGGGATTTCACATGGAACTTTTCAGTAATGCATTTAAAGTCAATCTGAAAGTGATGTGGCTATAATTGGGAATCTTGTGGTTTTCACTTAAGGCAATGAGGAAAGGTCTCCTGGATGTACTTCCAAAGAATTCATTAGAAGATTTGACAGCAGAAGATTTCAGACTTTTGGTAAATGGCTGTGGTGAAGTAAATGTGCAAATGCTCATCAGCTTTACCTCTTTCAATGATGAGTCAGGTATGAAATAACTTATTCAGAAACAGAGTTACAGGGATAACTTAACACTGTTTGTTCTGTGTGGAGTAGAATTACCAGCATTAAACTTAAACTACCTCTTCAGATTTGACATCGGTTAATAAGTCATTGAAAGTCCTAATAAAATTATTACTGTGGCTTTTACATACCTTTGAAAACATGTACCTTCAGTTGGGGGGGCGTGGGGACGGGAAGCATGTTTTCCAACTTTGCTGTCACCTGATGTTAAATACAAGAATTATATTATTGGTTGCATATCTTTCCTTCTGAAAGTTCCGACCTAACTTTAGAACTATAGATGTGATGGATGTAGTCCAATATTTCTTACATAATTTTTAAACTATATTTAGCTGTTAGGCTCTTTGGGAGGGGGGTGTGGGAGTTGTACTGAGCTATGTCAGAGTTAGCCTTTACATTCAAAAGTATGTGTATTAGTTTTGAAATTACTAGTGTCTCTAATATCAGGACTTTATGAATGAGGTTGTAGCTGAGATCCAACTTGCAATACATGTAAAACAGATCTCTTAATATTTATTGTCTAGTGTACCAGCTGAATTGGATATCTTTTTTATTTTACACAGGAGAAAATGCTGAGAAGCTTTTGCAATTCAAGCGTTGGTTTTGGTCCATAGTTGAGAAGATGAGTATGACAGAAAGACAAGATCTAGTAAGTTGTCCATTCCCAGTGGAAACATGCAGAAGAGCTGGAATAACTTTGGCATCATTACTGTCTTTAACTGTGTCTTCCTGCAGAGACTTTGTATTGTGAAGAGTTAAGGTAGCAGAGCAGGGTAGTAGGGTTTGATTAAACTTTCAGTTCTGGAAACATCAGGTGTGAATCCTAGGCCTTCTTGCAATTGAAAGTAAGTGTGGTGTTTGCTTATCCATATTCACAGGTCTCTTATGGAAGCACAGTTACAGTGTTACAGTCTCTGCACAGTCATTCTTAAGCTGAGTAACTGTCGTTAGTCAACTGTGTGGTGGGCTGGTAGGGTTTTGAGGTTGAGTTCTTTTCCTGGATCATCTGCTCTCCTGACTTCTGTGTATCCTGAGGGCAACACCTGTGTCCTCTCTGTAAGATGTCAGTAATGATACTATCTCCTTCTCCAAGCCCTTTGGGAATAGCTGATGAGAACCATGAAAGTACAAGATACAGTTCAGGGGGTTTCATTTTGGAAAACTTGCCTGTAAATTGTATTAATCGTATGGTGCTTAAAACGATTTGCTTTTAGCTTCCTACTCCTTAAGGTATTATCTTTCCTTTACAGTTTGCTAAAAGGAAACAAGGCCTAATCTGACAAGCAGAAAATCTAGAGCACATTTGTTAAGGAATATCTGATTACACTTCCGTAGTGACTCTGCTCTGCAAGTCACTATTTCACACTTGAGACAACAAACCAAATATTCTCTGTTGCTGCCTTTTGTCTGTACAAGTACTATATTCTGTAGTCACTAACTGGTTTGTGAGAGATTTCTGATACATTTGGTATTGACGGCAGTCACCATCTTCCCAGATAGATTTGAGGACATTTCATTTACTGAGGACTTGTTGATACAGGATCATTTTGAGTGCTGTTTTTATCACTTTTAACAGAAGTATATAATATAATGAGCAGTTGAGGAAAGGAAGTGAAGGGAGCTACTACAAAAGCATGTGGCATGACCACTGAGTTTAGTTGGCATATTGAACAGAACGTAGTATGATCAAACTTGCTGTGACTGTTCTTTAACCTATCCCTGCACAGCATGTAGGCAATATGAATTCTAGCCTTGTACAGCAAAATTTTAAATTCTGTCGTCTTTTTTTCAGGTTTACTTTTGGACCTCAAGTCCATCATTGCCTGCCAGTGAGGAGGGATTCCAGCCTATGCCATCAATCACAATAAGACCACCAGATGACCAACATCTTCCTACAGCAAACACTTGCATTTCTCGCCTTTATGTCCCACTCTATTCCTCTAAGCAGATTTTGAAACAGAAATTGTTACTCGCCATTAAGACCAAGAATTTTGGTTTTGTGTAGAGTATAAAAAGTGTGTATTGCTGTGTAATATTACTAGCTAAGTTTTGTAGATTTTTCCATTTGTCTATAAAAGTTTATGAAAGTTAACGCTGTCATACCCCTGGTGGTACTTTAAAGATTTAAATGCAAACATTCCTCTACTAAATTTGTAACGTAAAGGCCTAAGGAGCACTGGCAATATCTGATTGCAAGAGTTTGCTAGTCAATAACTCCTTTGCCTAACCCCAGCCAAAGATGACAGCAGAACAATATAATTTACACTGTGATTTATCTTTTTGCTGAGGGAAAATATGTAAAATGTTCTGAAAATTCACTGCTGCCTTTGTGGAAAGTGTTTCAGCAAAGGTTCTTGTATAGAGGGAGTAGGGAATTTCTAAATAAAAAATTAAGTATGTTCTGTGTTTTATTTTAACTTTTTTTATGGTGTTTTAATTTGTGGTTGGCTGCAGTTGTGTATCATGTATATTGAACTTGTAAAAAGTTCCTGACAGCTCAGATCCCAAAGTCGGGATCATTCACTTATGAAACCACTTTCACTGCAATTTTTGTTCTGATTGCATTGAACTCTGGTGCATCAGATACCATCACTAATATTTTGCATGTAATCTGTACCTTTAGTGGGTTGGGGTTTTTTTTTGTTTTTTTTTTTTGTACATATGATGAGGCCAATGCACAGTATTTCATAGTTCACGATCAACATTTTTGTATCCCTGTTTCAGTGAACAGACAGTCAGGAGATTGTTCCACTACCAGTTCTAACCCGACACTTGTACTACGTTATCTAACTATGTAAACTCAGCCTGGGCACTTTCTGGTAACTGTAAAATGTTTATAAGATCATGATTATTGAAGATACATTTTGGAAAACTTTAATGTTCGTGAGCAGCTTAACTTCTTTTGTATCTAGCCTTTTTTTAAGTATCTTGTTACAGTTTTTTAATAAAGAAATTACAGACAAAATACCAAGTCATACTGAAGAAACAATAGTTTTTATTTATTTAGCCATTTATACTTTAGATAACAGCATACACTAAACATAGTTGTTCATTAAAAATCTGAATTTTGTAACTGAAAAATTGACCTGCAGAAGACATTCAGCCCACATTTTACAGTTAGCAGAGAATCCTGAATGAAACAGGCCAGGCAATCCCTTCTTTTCACAGAATTGGTTGGAAGGGGAAGTGGCTTGTTCTGAAAAATCTCAAGGTAATTAGGTTAGAATAAAATTCTCAAACTGCATTGTAGTGGGTTCTACTGTATGTTCACTTTTTGAAGTGATTGGTTGCTTTTGGGGAGGGCAGTCTTTGACCATAACCTAGGACTTGTTTTCCCTAATGCTTGAGAGATTTTTGAGAGTTAGGAAGTGATTGATAAAGGAAGGAGCTACTTTTTCTATGTCAAAACAAATTTCTGAAAGCTTAGCAGACTGAAGTGTTGAAGGTTTAAGAGCTTTTGTGGTGGTGATGTTCTCCTTTCTTGCTTCTCCAACCCCATGAGTCCATGTTAGTGATAGTTTTTTTTTTTCCTTCCTTTTGTTGGGACGAACTAAACTAACGTTCCGTCAAAATCTGAGTGGAATTCACCTTTGCCAGAGCTCCACTGGGTTTTCCTTTCTGTCAGCTAGTTGAGGATGACCAGAAGTTACCTACAGCTGTGATTTTCAAAAAAGCCTCTATTTTCATCATTTCTTTAGTTGCTAGAGGTGTGGAGGACAGTTGAAATCAGACATTCTGATGACCCGTTGCCAAACTGATGCTGAAAATCCTGTTTGCTAAATAAGGCTGACTGTTTCAAGCTTGTGTAGTTAAACTGCAGATAAATCAAGTAAACAGATGTAGACTTATTTCTGCATGTACTAATACTTCCTAAATCAATCGTCCTGGAAAAGGATAGTTTCAGTGTACGAGGATTGGAGTCTATTCTGGATTTCCTGTTGTGACCTCCAGTGTCTCTTAAGTTCAAAACTGTATCAGATTTTACTGTGCTAGTACCAATTAAAAATAAAAAGCAGTACAGCTACACAAGTCTAGATATAGGTGTATTAGTATAGAGAAATTTTATACTGGTATGGCTGTTCTCATATACTAAGGAGGATAGATACAAAGGTACCAAGCAACATATACCTTATGCCTGGATTTCTAACTGGTGTAATTATTTCCATTACCAAAAACACCTCTAACTGAAATGTGTAAAGTTAGTAGAAAGCAACAAAAGAAACTGTTTAGAATAGGCATCAGATCTACAGTCTGTACAATAAAGCTCCCTCCCTCACAAAGCTTTGTGAGACTTGATGTATTAAAAAGTATCCAAGGCCCTTGGATGAAAGGCCATATATAAATGTAAAGTACTGTGTGTATATATATATATATATGTATTGTGTGTATATGTATATAAGTGTATGTGTATGTATAACATATAAATATATGTTATATGTATATATATTTCTGTATATAGCTTAAAACATTTTTTTAAGTCCTGTAATGTATAGCCAGACAAAAATTATGCAGGTAACTCACAGTAGCTCACCATATATACACACACAAGGCATTCTGATAAGCGGAGAGGGAATCTAGAATGATTTATGCTGTCGTCATTGACTTGAAATGTGTATGTAGCTTTATAAATAGCTTTTTTCCTCTGTATGGTATATTTAAACTATATCAAGATTTTAATAAGAAAAATGTTTATTAAAATCGTACACCTCATCTCCCTTTGACTTAAGCCCTTCTGTTAGTTCACTTTTAAGATGTGGTAGAGAAAATAGTTAAAGGAAAATTCTGTAATGTTTACTTTTTTTTTAATAGTCTAAATCCTTAGCTGTTCATAACTGCTGAAATAGGACATAAAGGTAGCTACTAATAAAATATTATCACCAACTACTAGACTAGTTCCTATTCTGAACCTAGGAAAAACTTGACGCCTTAGTGCTAACTTCCATGGCTAATTCTTGGCATTGGTTTCTGTTCCTTAGTTAACTGTATCCAACACAGAAGGTAAATTGCTTGCTCCAGCTTTGTTAGTTTTCCAGAAGTGAAAAATTGTATGGACTTGTCATCAAGTGGCCTTTCCCATCTGTTTGGTTTGGGACTGACTTTCCTTTCCTGCAAGTTAGTCATTTGGTCATTAGACAACATGCAGTGAAAAAGCTGTAAACTGGCAAAATTGTGAATCAAAAGCAATACGCTTCTTGTACAGCAGCGGTCATTCAGGGAGGCAGAGGAAAGGAAATTTTCTTAATCTCTTAACCTATGTTTATCTTTGTATAATTTGCAGAATTGTATACAGAGCTGCTGTTTTTTGAAAGTTTACTTCCACGTGTGCGTCGAAAGAGAAGTGCGTAGAGAGCAGGGTGCGAACCTTTCCTCGATGGTTGGCGTGCAGGTGCGAGCAGTACCCCCGTCACCACCAGCCGCCTCCACTGCGGTTCTGCTGCTCCCCGGGAGCCCTAGTGCAGCAGAGCTCTTTGTCATTCTTAAGGCCATGTGAAAGATCGTTCAGTAGATTAGTAGCAACCTCTTCCTTGGAAGCTTACTGCTGTTCTCCTTAAACTCACTTTTTACAGTGTCCTTACAACCTGTGGGTCACGTCTCTGTGTGTGAATCTGTAAATGCCATTCTGAGCTTTTTCTGTGTCTGTACTCTCCGCTTCATTGACACTTGCATTTCTCTGGCTTCCTCTCTCTAGGGCAAACTACAGATACCTAGCTTAGTAGCTTTGATTCCCTTTCTCTTTTCGAGCTTTGTATGATTTGACCTTTTTTCTGAACTCTTCAGTTTGCCTTTTTAGTAACACGTCTGCCAAAATCGAATAGAAAATTCTGCAGGTTTGGATTAACTGGATTTCAGTGCATGTGGTATTTGCTTATCCCGAGGTCTGAATGTCCATGCACAGATTGAAATGTGGAGGTGAATTGGCCACGCGAAAGCTCCAGCGACTTGTCTTGAACTCGCAGTGCTGGAAGTTCCCACGTGGTCCGTGTGGGGAGGACACAAACAGGCTTCACGACTGCAATCTGGCCTCCATCGCAGTGTAGTCATTGCCCGGCAGGACTTTTAGCGTCAGCAGGAGCACCGATGGGTCCTTTCCTCGTTGGAAATTGCTTTCGTGGTTTTCATTTGCAGCTATTTGAGTATCTTACCATTGAGCAGATTTGCTGAACTGAGAAGCACAGAGGGCTTTTTATTTTTTATCTTTTAAGGATTTTCTGTGGAGTTGTCTTTAAGAGGATAACTTCACGTCTTGCTTGAAACACAAGCCTGTAAGTGAGACTTTTTTCCACCTTTTCCATGGCTTTCTTAAGGTATTTTTTGTTATTAAATATCACCACAAGTTACTCTTACAGTAATATACCATTTAGTATAGCAAGCAGCAGTTGGTTGCTCCCAAGCATTTTGGGACTTTTTTTCCATAATGGCGAAACTTTTCAGTATCCCTTGTCCAGTGACAACAGCAGCTAACATGAATGCATACGTTTGAATACTGTAGTCATGTGAACCTATTAGAAAATAGGTTGCTGCCACAACCTCTGGTGAGGTTTCTCTGCAAGGAGACTCTTTTAAGAAAATAGTTGTTTTGGACATGCTGATTTTCATACAATGAACAGTTTTAAGCTGAAAAAGCAGATTTCACTTTAATGTATAAATGAAAATTCTTCAATTTACCTGAAATGGCATTCTTCATATAAAAATAGTATCTATAAAGCCTTTTTAAAAGGCAGCTAAGTATTCCCAAAATAAGTAATATCTTTTGGGGGGAGGGAGGGAAGAGGCATTATAGTTCAAGCTGTGATGATGCATTTTGGATGCCTTAGACAAAATTTTGGGACATACCTTTGTACCAGTAACTGACTTTGCCTTGCTATGAGAGAGTACTTCGCCCAAAAAGTTGTGATTGATGCTAGTATAGATTACGTTTGTTCATTGCTTTTATTACTTCCAGAACTACTAAATACAGTGTGAACTTGCAGATTGTTCTCATGCATGTCTTTCCAAAGGAGAATGTGGACAGGCTTTTTTAATGGGTGGGGTTTTTCTGAGTGGATCAAAATTACTCCATTGGACAGAGGAAGCTTTGGGAATGCAAAGCTGTTCTAGTAAGCCTGTAAGGCCTGGGTCTGTCCAGCGGTGTACTAGTGTGTGCTGCTGCCACACCTCCATTAATTGCAATTAGCAGATGGAGAGAGCTGTTGTGAAGCCACAGGCCACTCTGCGGGAATGCCCATTCTGGCGTGTCGCCTTGCCGTGGGTCTTCTCCCCTCCCCGCTGTGGAGTGTCCTGCACCTCCGGGAAGTGCCACCACGCTTTCAGGACATGACAGACGTGACGCTCGGGGTCAGAGACCCTCCCCGTGCAGAAACACCTCCACAGCTCCTAGTGCATGTCTTTTGTTGTGAGCGACTGCAGGTAAGGGGCCGCGGGGACCAGGGCAGGACAGCGGCCGCACCACTGGGCAGCAAGGAGCTAAGGAATGAATACAGCTTCCACCACCCATCGGGGAGCTCGTTCGAAATAGGACATCATAGGTACAGCCGAGTAACCTGCAATCTTGCAAAATCGTGCAAAATCGTGCATAATGCTATATTTCATATGTATGTTTGTTTGTAAACTATTTTACAGTTCCACAAGTGCTTTCCTGTATTTCAGTATCATGTACATGATGTAATTAATTTATATAAAACAAAGCTACCAGGAGTTGGTGGATTTTTGTGGAGGTGTAAGAACAGCCAACCGCTGTTTTGTTAATCCTTGTGGTACATTTCCTTTGCAGTATTTTTCCTTTGTATGTTAATCTTTAGGCACAATGTATGTAGATGTTTGCTGTGCTCTGTAAAAGGGCAGGTGTGACTTTAAGAAGTTATCCCCATAATACTTGAACTCCTTTCTATTGCTAGTTACATTAAGTTGTAGTAGTTCTTAAACCTTGTCAAATACTCAGGGGGACAATCCCTTACTTGGGGAATTTTGGAA